ACCATCATGACAGCTCTCTAGGCCGTCATGTAAATGCCGCGTCACGCAAAAGCTTAGAAATTCAAGCGTAGTGTATCACAAAACCAAGAACCCACTCGGGGCCAAAATTTGTATGAAAATTAGTTTTTAGCTGCTGTTATACATCATTAAAGTAAAATCTCAGGAAGATCAATAGTTTTGTAGTTCGAATTTTAGTGACGTCATGTGAAAACCAGCTATTATGAAAACTGGCCATGCAGTAAGGTAAAGATCAACTTTTGCCAAAAAGGAAAAAAGGAGGGAGGTCGCTGTGCTCGTTTCCGAGAAAAGGCGCTTTGAAAACCATGCGTTTTTAGGGTCTTTTAGGTTCTTTGTAACTACATGTATTAGTGACATTGTACTTAATTCAACATAACTAAGTCTACATTATTACGTAACATTTTGCAGCTGAGATCATTCCTTAAAGTAGAATAAACCTTGAATAAGCTAAGCGGGTGAGATGAATCGTATCCTGCGCCGTGATTGGCTACCCGATCCCCCAGCGGACAAGATGGTGCTATCTAGAACTTTTTTTTTCGCGTCAACATTGGCAAATTTGTAGCCCATCTCAAATGTTTATGGGAGTCGAACTCAATTCTGGCTAGCTACAGTCATATATTAGGGCCATGTACTTATTTAAGAGTCTAAAAAAATCATTTCACAGACGCCCTTTTTTGTTTAATACTAGTTTTTTTTTTTGTTTGTTTGTTTGTTTTTTTTTCGAGCGCGCGAGAGCGGTCGCCTAGCGGACGAAAAAAAGAAAATTAAACCTCTATTCTTAGCTCTCCCGAGGGCCAATCCTTGCGTTCGGGATTTTTCGAATCGCTTGCGATCTCGACGAACTCAAACACAAAAGAAAGGATCTGAGGACAGACTTATCTGAAATGGGGTATCGATTCAGTTTCGTTTAGGTCTGCCATAGTATATGGAAAATCACAGATTTTGGTCTGATATAAGGTACAGGTTTGAAGGTTCGGGCCGGACACCCCTCCAAAAACTTTGGGAATTACCCCCTTCCCCGGGATATAGATTAACGTGTTGTCATTTTCCTAGTTTGAACCATTTTTCTAAGCAGAGAACGGGCATTGACCCTTTGACTGCCAACGACGCGAATACGCGTACTTAACGGTCGTGCTCTTTGTACCACTTTTGGCGTCATCAATTTAAATGATATTCTTGATAAGCAGATAATAGAGCTAGGATAGATCTATCTGCACAACAGGCAGTTTTGGATATCGACGGCATTCTGACGTTGCAAATTGAAAAACAACGTTATCAGTTTTGGTGCAAAAATGGTGGTAAAATGGCTCATTATCATATACCTATAATTGATGAAGGTCCCATTTCCAGACTTTGCCCATAATTAACACCCAACTTTTTACGGCAGCCAGAAAGAATATGAAACGCAAAAGGTAACAAGAGTAAATAGGCCGAGAAAAAGGAAAGGAATGGGGCAAGAAAAAATTCGGAAGGGGCAATCGCAAAAAAAGTCCAAAAAAATGTCCAAATTTTGGCTTATGCGCATGCGCTTAATTAAAACATTCTACATTTTCGTACCTTATCCTGGGGAAAGCTATTGTTTAGCTCTTTCAGCAACACTAGGCCCATTTAGCGTCGTGGCGGCCAAAAAAACTGATTTCACGATTAAAAACAGCATTTTTATTATGAAAATTTGGCAGTAAAAGGGTTAAGTGACATGTTCATATATATATTATTAAACTATATTCATATTGTTTATAGCTTCCGGTCTTTATTCTTGTGTATGATTGTTTACTGCGACTCGCGGCACTTTACCGATAGCTACTCCCGTTCAGAATAGAGGAAATATTATTTCTTAGTAACAAGCCTGGGAATCCTAAAAATATGGCGATTATTGCCTTTTCCGTTGTAGATGAGGAATGGTTTAGTGCCAGTGAAACAGAACGAAATTAGAAAGATACATACATACAGGCTTCGGAAAGACTATTCTCATGAGAGACACTTGAGGAATCCTAAAAATTCACCGAGTGTTAGTTTTCATGGTTGGGTTATTTGGCGAGCCCAATAAATCATGGGCAGTGGCTTAGTACTGAGTGGAGATATATTTGTCCAGTATCTGTCATTTGGCATGGGTACTATGAGATTGGTTTTCTAACCCACAGTTCTTAATCATAGATTCCTGAAGCAATTTATTTTATTATATTTTCGAACGTAAGGCAAGGAAAAAATGTACGATAAAATAAACTCTCACCGTAAAGCCTCATGTTATGTTTAAGTCTATACAGCAGTTTATTTATAGGAGAAACATTTTTTTCACCGCGGGAGGAGAATATTACTTCTCGAACTCTGATTTCCATTTAGAGATCGGATTTTACCAAGCGCGACCGTGGAATATCAAACAAAGTTTAGAAACAAAAGTTACACATAGTAGTTTTAACGTCTAAAAACTAACCACAGCTTTCTTATGTTTTATCAACGTCGAACTCGAATTCACAAAAAAAATTCTATTAAACTGTTGTTATTTAATTAATCAGTTTTCAACCATTTCCTAGCATTTTTGCTAGATCTAAGACAAAATGATTGCTTTCAAGGCGTTGAAGGAGGAGGGGTGGGGTGGTGGGGAAATAGAAAAATGTACTACAATCAGTGCACTTGATATAAATGTTTAATGAGTAGTACAAATTGACAGCTGTATGCAGGTTTGTTTATGAAAAGAGCCTTTTTTACAATATCAACTTATCTTCTTCTCTGTTAAAGTGACATTATTTTATTCAGTGAAGCCAATGTGTTGTAGGTTTAAGTGGTGATTTGTTATTGCCTCGCTGTTATTCTTTAAGTGTTGGTTGATATAGGCGATATATGAAAAATATGGTCATCATCCGATGGGAATGCTTTTCAGCAGTATAAAGTGGAACTGAGCTGCATGTTATGCGAGTCCTCCACAGCCACCGCCAAATCTCGACTGGGAAACTGGAATACGACCATCGCAACATAGGTCGGATGTGGTATCATATACTAGTCTTCCACAGCAGCTTGTGGTTATAGATGTCTTCGGTTGCATGACACCGTCGCAGCATAACATGGCACTTCCAGTAATTGGGTGTCTGTTGCTCATTGGGACATCATTGCAGCATAACTGGGTGGCTGGGTTGTAGGTTAAGTACCTTCCACAGCAGGCTGCATTTAATCCCACCTTGTGGACTACGTACTGATTATTGCAGCATAACTGCGTGGCTATATCGTAAGCGTGAGTTGAACAACAAGCTGACATATTGCCTGGTTTGTGTTTCGGTCGACCATCACAACATAACTGGGAGGCTACATCGTATCCACGACTTCCACAGCATCCTGGCAATGCTCCTGGTCTCTGGGGTACGGGTGATAAGTTTTCCTCACAGCATATTTGTTTATTTGTATCATATCCTTGATCTCCACAGCAGGCTAAGGTTCGTCTCGACACGCCTTGCGTGGGTACCGAATAAAATACCGTGCTACCACAACACATGTCTGATGCTGCATCGTACAGATCACTTCCACAACAGGTTGGCTGCGTCATTCTAGGTAAAATACTGTTTGTGGTATCATCGCAGCACATCTCGGACCATGGATCGAATGAGTTGTCTCCGCAGCACCTGGTCCGATTTCCTACCTTGGGAACCACGTGGCCGTTGCAGCATAATTCGGTCCAAGGGTTGTACTGCTCACCTTGGCTACAAAAGCGCATCCAGATCTGTCGGCGATATCTAGCGCCCAGCTTATGTGTTCCTGTTCAAGATAAAGATTAAAAGATATTACTAGTCAATTAGTCGAGCTCCTCTGCTTGTTCAGGTAGCAATGTGAATGGGAATTACTCTACCAAACTATTAATCTGTCTATTTGACATTAATGATAACCTAAGGCAAGTTTTTATCACACCTTACTTTTCACTCGCGTTAGGTCACTTAAGACAACAATTCTTGAGGGCACCTCCGTGGTGCGGGCAAGGAGGAAAACTGAGGAAAATCACTAACTATCGAGTCCAGAGACGGTGCCCTACTTAAGACTAAGTTACTCATACGATGATTGTATGAAAAAGCACGAGAAAACCTGAGTTTCGACATTTGCCTTATAAAGGTGCAACTATTCTGTTGCACTAATACATCATGAGGATTACTTTTATTTCTTACTTGGTTCACACATTTTACTTACCAATTCCTGGCTCACTTTTTAGCTTCACTTCAGAATCTTTAACGAAGGAAGCGCAATCACAGCAAGCGACGAATAGAAGTAAACAAAGGCTAATTGAAATCTGAGAAAACGACATCCTTGCCTTCGTCACTTTCGTCCCTTTCTTTGAATTACCGGGTTACCGTGTTCAGCTGTGAACGGTAAATACTTATGGTAAATGTTCCACACGACTTTCGTTTTTAAGGTGTCAAAGCACTTGAACTTACCGTGCAATATGTATAATGATCTGTAATGCGTTTCGATATAAGCATTGGATTTTTTTTCGAAAGATTGGTTTATTCTTGAAATAAATATCGACTGATATCGCTTTCGATGTTACGTTCTAACTTCCAACGTAGAATACCTCGGCCTACATTGTGAACGGATACTAGGGCTACGGACTTCAGCTTCTTACCCTTCGAGCAGCTTTAGACTAAAGAACTGATCATAGCTCGAGATTTTTCAGTGGGAATCGTCGTTGTTGAATTTCTTCATAATTTGAGCATGTTAACTTTTCAGCGGCTCGTATGAGTCCTACAGTTCAAGGTCGTGGTGCAATGACACCTTACCACCGAGGATATTACGTCCAAGCTAAACTGAGTCGTACACTCCAAGGCATACCTCATCAGAACAGTTTGAGTCCATGCCTTTAACAAATTGTTTTGCAGAAATTTGTTAGGACTAGTTGACTTAACATCATATTTCAGTTGTTACCATGTATAGCAACGTAAGCCGAATAGACTTCCGTAATGATTTTGTTCTATCGAGATTCTTTTCCGGAGGGGGGGGACTCCCGTATAAAAATGACAGGGTGTTCGTCGGAAATTTTGAAAATAACTACATAAAGGTATCACAGTGTCCCATTTTGAAAGTGGCTCAAATTTATGTTCACTTAATTAAGAGTAAGAGATTAAAATTTTAAAATAACAAGTGACTCTGATAATCTAAGGGTGCGTTTCTTTAAGAAAACGGACTTTACTAAACAGATTAATCCAAGATCACTCGGATCATTGTGCATCAAAGCAACCGAAGAATCCTTGCACAGAGTGGATTCTTCGGTTCCTTTGATGCACCATGCTCCGAGTGATCTTGGATTAATCTGTTTTGTAAAGAAAGTCGGATTTCGGATTTAGGAATCCAATCTTGGATTTTCTTAAAGAAACGCACCCTAAGAGTTGCTGTTAATATCATCCATGACTGAACAGTTTGAACTAGCTGAGTAACAAATTGTTCCTGGCATTTTTCGGCTCAACACCCTAAAACGCATTGTGATAACCTTTTTACCCCAAGAAACCACCGCTTACGTCTCTCTCATTTTCATAGGGAAGACCCCCCGGATATTGTTTATACTCACACGAAACATTGAAAGATATATTTAAACAAGATATACTCATTGAAAAATCAATATAGAGGCGGTACTCATGACTGTGTATCTAACAACATAATGCTAAACTCATTCGGTTACCAAGCACTACCGGTGGGTTTTGTCGAACCCCATTGCTAAGTGACGGAACAAATTCGCGTGCCAAAACAATAACTTTCAGAATATGTTTTTTTTTAGTCTTAAGTAGATTTGCATGTTTTTTAACTGAAATATTGTTCAGTTACCACATAAATTTGATCAATGTCTGATAGAGAGACCGTAACCAACATTTGTTGATAAGTTGATATCGATAGAGGCCTAGGGGCAAAGAGCACCAGAATAAAATTCACTTCACCTTTTCAAGAAAAAACTGTGTTTCGTCGACGTTGCTAAGTAACAAAACGCATTCACGTGCAAAGTCAACAGCTTCCATACTGTCTTCTTATACAACTGGTGATCGATCGGGTTTGCATGTTTTCTTTACTGAAATGTTTTTTTACTGAGTTGCCAAAAAAAAGATAAATGTTAAAAGCCCGTAACTGATATTAATTTATATGTTTATGATATGGGTGAGCGCTTGCTTGTGTGTGCTGTTCAGGGTTTGGAAATTGGAGGACTCAATGAAGTATTGCTTCACTTTTATTTAAAGATATTAGGCAAACTTAAAATAACACCGTTTGACAAACTTTAACTGACGCAATATAGACTGAAAAGATGTATTACTTCAATATTCACCAGCGGAAAATTCATCGCGGCTACAACGATCAAAATATCAGGTTAAATAAAAACGTTTCTTGTTGCTGAGATGTCCTGTTTCCAAGGACTGAGGATTTGCACGAGTGTTTTGTATGTGAAGATTCTTCTACAGGATAACTGACTCAGAACCGTAATCTTAGGATGGAGTCACCAACAGCCAACCTAGAGTACATTTACATGAATTACGTTCGTGTTCTTAGCTTAAATCACGATTTTTAGATATTCTAGAGTTGTGTGATTTTTATTTAACATTTTCGCTAATAAATGTGTCTCCTGAAACCTCACCACTTTGACTTTCTGTTCATATGTATAAACCTATTTAGCCTGACAGAAACGATAGTTTTAGATTAAAGTAGTTACGCAAACAAAAGAAAGCCGAACGATTTATGAAAGTTTGAGAAAAAGTAATTGAAAACTACCAGGGGAGAAAGACTTGATCATTTGACTTTATAATATCCAATCTTTAGATTTTTGTTCACTGAGTTTTCGGTGGCAACTGTCCACCTTCATCAGAGTGAAAAACAGTAGATGTTCGTTATAACGTAGCTCGCGTTTTACGTGCTGGAATACGCGTGCAGAGTTTAAACTGGAAACAAAGGAGTAAAGCGCGCGGAAAGACTTGGTAAGATCTGAATGACATTCCCGGGGGACACTCCGCCGTCTCAGACAGCACTGATATCCTGAGTGCAGCCTGGCTGTACCAGAGTTACTGTAAGTTGGTGAGCAGCAACAGCTAAACAGCTCCCTTACCGCACGTGCCGTACCGCAGCGTTGTCCACAATTTTATATGTTAACCAAAGGCCTGGAACGAGCTATTAGGAAAGCTGTGGTCAAATCAGTGCGTATGCTGCCATGGCAACGGTAAGAGAGCTCATCCCAGTTTTGACAACCAACCCATGTTGGGCGGCTATTGCCTAATGATCGAGCATTTGAACAAGTCATGTTCATTATTCATCGCTAAGGTAATCGTAAAGAGTGAGGCGTATGCTACTATGTGTCTATCAAAACGATGCAGAAACAGAAGGTTTTCAAGTGACGTGAAACCGCGCATGTCATTAATCATAATGGGGCTAAGGCGGCAGTGCTTTCAGTGTTTCAGGTGTTATATATTAACGAGACATTAAGACGGCCGGCACTTTCAGACCGGTGTTTGTCAAAGGTATTTATTAAGGTATTTGCATGTTTTTGATTTCTTTCCAAAATAACTTTGTCAAGTACTTATGTGTCGATCCTAGTCAATATTCACTCGAAAATAGCCAACATTTGCATCTAGCACTTATAGTTAATCTGATAAGTAAATACCAACAGTTGAATCATAAGTGTGTGAACTGTGTGTGAAAAAGTGAAAAAAGAACAGATCTTTGCTCGCGTAAGCAGCCAGTAGTAGCGGGTAAAACCTGGAAGAAGAACAGGTGTATTTATTTCGCTTCAACACGGTTATAAAAGGCTAGACTGTGTTTTCGTCCGCGGAGTTGCTCAGTTACACAACACTTTCTATTGCAAAGCCAACATGTCCACTTTTAGATTGTGTTTCGTGCTTTAACAACTGGTGATGTTTTGATTGCTACTGTCAGGCGGTTTGCACGTTTTCTGCACCGTTATATTGTTAGCTTGCTAAAATAATTCGGTCAATGTCTGATACACAGATCGTAAACAATGGTTCGTTGATAAGGTGATATAGAGAAAGGAGGAAAGAACGGTTGAAAGGTAGTATATGTGGTTTTACCCTCAGGAAAAAAACAACAACACGGAACTGTGTTTTCAGCTGCTGCAGTGAAAGCATGTGACATTATTTCAAGTGCGATTTACTTGCATGCTTTAGAAGTCCAGTCCAGCTCCATAGCTCTCTAGTTGAACTGGAGTACATTTGCTGCACGTCAGGGCAGCATTTCACGTATAGAAATGTGACTTCAATTATTGAAAGAGGCTAATTTTTGGAAGATCTAGTCAGCCGGCACTAGCTGGCCTAATAACCGTGACGGATTTTGAAGAGTTATTTCCACACTTGGCAACGTAAATGAAATAGACACCTCGAATGTCCTTGTTTTTGTGAGATTATGCAATATTATTGCATTTTTCAACGAAATTTCCGTTACTCATTGATTTATTCATTGATAAGTCGATATAGAGAAAGGGAGAAAGAACATTGGAACTTGTTTCACTTCACCTTCAGTACAAAGCCGACATGACAACACCGTCAGTACGAAGCCAACATGACAACTTTCGGACTGCCTTGTTTACGGACAACTTTAAGTGTTTTAACTACTAATGCCAAACAAATCTTCCATGTTTTTTAAAACTGAATTATTGTTCACTTGATCAGTTGCTAAAATTATTCGTTCAATGTTGAAAGGTCGCAACCAATATTCATTGATATAAGCGCCTCTTGTGCGTGTTGGCCAGGGATTAGAAATTGGCAAATCGTCTCACTTTTGTTTATCGATATGAGGCTAGCCGCTAGAAAAAAAAATAAAACAAAAGACTGAACTGAAAGACGCAAAACTTCATAATTCGGTATCGATAAAAGGAAACATTTATCTAGTTTAAAGCATTGTCCTTAAAGACTGTGGATTGGCGCGGGTTGAGTTTAGGTGAAGAAACTTCTACAGGATGTTAAGGAATCGCTGTCAATATTTATCTGGAGTGTGCACGTTTCTGGAAGTATTTATATTTTAGCCTAAGTCAATTCCCTCAATCTCGACTAAATCAGCTTTCTAGACCAGAAATTTCAAACTTCGGTGGTTCCCATAGTCTCTCAAATTTCACTTTACTGAATGCTATAGTTCTTTTGTTGCATTTCGGAAATGTGAGTTACCCATTTGAAAATATTAGACATTCCGGGACGAAAATCAAATGGAACGAAAATTCCCGATAAGAGAGTTTGGAAAATTTGATGATGTCTTGCGAAGTTGTCCTCTTTTACGGAAATTCCGGAAAATCATTTTCCCTGTACCACTGGAAACTTCCGGAAGTTCAAACCGGAATTTTTGGTCGAAAAGCGACTCCTCTTAAATCGTTGATAGTGCATGGCCTCAATCATCCTAACTATCATCACGACAGCACATCCTTACATGCTTCGAGTTCTTCGAAACATCTGATCCTCACTAAAACCCAGTTATTTTGACCAAAAAAACCCAACCTCTTAGCGCCTTTCACTCGTCTACTCGCCGTTTGCTAACCCTATGTTTTTTTTACTCTTTTGTCTTCGTAAATTCGGACATTTTAATCCAAAGGGGCGCGCGAAGAATGCATCAACGCCAATACATACATGTACTTTTTCTGCAAAAAGCTATCAACTATAAATAGCCCACTTGAAAATCTGATCCAAGTCCTGGTGTTTATATAGCCTCATCCAAACTTGAGGAGGGTTGGGAGAATTCGAGACAGTTATGCAAACCTGAGACGTAGTAGAGGGTTTGCATAACTTTCGAAATTCTTCCAGTCCCCTCCCCCCCTTCCCGAGTGTTTAGATGAGGCTATGTAAACATGCAACCCCAAGGACAATACTGTTGCTTCTAAGTAGGAGCCATGATCGGGGACGGAGACCGTAAGCATGTGCCATTTCTAGTATTGGGGCTGGGACAATTTTTCTATTTTAAGAACAAATTGCGCCATCGTATGCGGCACACGCGCGTTCATGCTGCGAGGATTTTTGCTGATGTAGCGCGGGGAAATGGC